AGGGAAGACAGCTCAGTTGTAGATTATTTGGCAAATGAAGGTGCTAAGTCTCTTGTACCTTTTATTTTAGTTTTTGAGTCTCAGAGTCTATTTTCTCTTTGGTTCTAGCTGATGCTATATGGACACGTTTGTTAGACAGTGGTTTTCTTTTTTCCTTTCGGTTGTTTTTAGTTTTCATACTAAAAAAAAAAAAAAACCGTATGAAGTATGCAATAAATTTATATTATATTTTAATATTGCTTTAAAACGCCAACCAATTGAACAACCATGCAATATATTCTTAAACTCGTGAAAAGCCCAGTTACATCATCGTCATCATTTTTAAATATTTAAATATAATTTTCACTGCTACCTATTTCTCGTTTGGTGGGTCGAGTGCTGGTTTGCCAACGGTCACATAGCTTATACATGCAGCCGGTTTTACAATGGGAAGTAGTGGTTGATTTCTTGAAAATTGGTGTCCAAAGAAAACAAGTTTTGGACAAGAATTTGTGTGGATGCAGCATTGCTAAGATAAGACATTCCGAGGGCTGATGTGCTATTGATGACAAACGTGCTATTTTTATTTGTATAGAAGTTGAACTAGTACAAAAGAGGTTAAATATGGTCAAGGGATGAAAAAAATGTGAATGGAATAATTGTACAGGAACTTAGAGATGATTAAATACAACATTGATTGAGCAATTATTGGAAAAACATTTTCATTGTTTTTTGTTTTTAAAAAAATAGAAAATAGGAAGTCAAAACAAATACATTTTGAAAATCTTGAAAATCTGAGTGAAAAACGGTTTTAGAAAATTAAAACACTTTATCAAACCAAACAGTTCTTAATGTTATGACAAACATTTTATCTTTTGGACATTGAGGGTGTCTTTAGAACTACCGCGATGCATGGTATCAAACCAAACACTTCCTAATGTTATGACAAACATTGTAACACAATGTCATTTTTTTTAGACTTTAAATTTAGATTTTATTAATATTTTATTAGCTTTTCTTTGCCAATAAAAAGGCAACAGATGCTTGTAACGAATATGAATCAAATTTGAGAGTGAATTCAAGTGAATTAATAGGTTAGTTTCAAATCTCCTCTTCCCTCTCTCTCTTTTCCACTATGTGACACCCTCTACCCTAACATAATTACTTAATAAGCATTAACTATATTTAAAAAGTATATTAGAGTGATATAAAATAATAAATATCATAAGGTAGAAGACGCACATTCGTAATTAACATTTATACCAAACTCAAGAAGTCATAATAAAACAAAGATTATAAATTAATCCCAGTAAAGGTGGCAGTGCCTCCTAGTTAGGAATCAATTTATAATTTTTGTATATCATACAAATATATTTAAATTTCAAAAGAAAGAAAATAAAACATTATTATCCCAGAAAGAAGCCTAGCTAAGCCCGATGTCACATCCTATCAGAGCATGCCCACTTAAGCCTCTAGACTTCATTACCAACATCCTCATGATTAAGATTACCTGCAACATAAATTTAAACATATACAAGAATAACAAGAGGAGTGAGAAACTTCTCACTTAGTTGCAGGTATAGAAATAAAAGTTAAATAGCACACACACACGCAATATAATTCACATATATAATCAATCTCACATATATGCTTATGTATAATGATTTTCTTGACTTGACTCACTAATGTATGCATGTGGCGCCATACGGAAGTTTCAGAATTTATCACTGGTGACCCAAAGGTACACCTATCACTGGTGTTCATACACCTCGTTAGCATGTTACATCACTGGTGTCCCGAAGGCACACCTATCACTGGTGATCATACACCTTGTTAGCATCACTGGTATGCGGCCTCAGCGGCACACCTGGAATAATATATGCATATGATGCATGTCATACATTCATAGACTCAACATTTAGCATATTACACATATAAGATTCATATTTCATAATTATGATTTATTTTATTAATCCAACTTTAATAGTCCAATAGTCCAACAGTCCAATAGTCCAACGGTCCAATAGTCCAACGGTCCAATAGTTCAACAGTTCAACGGTCCATTCATGGATCGTAGGTCACAAGTCATGAGTACATATTTCATACAGTCATATCCTCATAGGTCCGCATAGGTCTCATATATACTTCATATACTCAAGTCATAATAAGATCTTCATAAGTTCGCATAGGTATTTTTATTCTAAAACTTATTCTTTTTTAACATCAATTACATATTTATTAATTAATAGGAGGCTTAGCCTTCCATATCTTTATTAATAAACAATTTATTCATTTTTTTTCTTTTATAAAAATAGTATAGTTATTATTTACTACGGACAAGAAATCAAGTAATGCAAAAAGCAAAGCACATTAATAACAATATTTCATACAAACAAACAACAGGCATAAGATCGGGAGCCAATCTAACAAACAACTATTTAACGATTACTCCAACACCCCCAAGCGAGGTTTCCCACTCCCCCCCTTACCTGGATAAAAAAGAATTCGGCAGAATCTCCTCTTTTTCTTCTTAGATGATTATCGAAACAAGGGCAGAACCTTCTCTATTCTCCTCCTCTTTCAAAACCTAGGCAGAACCTTATTTTCTTTTTCCTTCTCTCTCTCTTACTTTCTCTCTCTATTTCTCCAGAATTTCTTTCTCTCTAGAATTCTGAATTTCCAAAACCTTAAGCCCCTATTTATAGAAATTTTGAAGTTACTATGCACTATGCACTATTCATTAAAATAATATTATAAATTACTATGCACTATGCACTATTCATTATTATATTCAAATTAATTAAAATTTTGAAACGGAAAGAATCCGCAGCCCACGTTTCAGCCGCCCCTTCACTGTGCAATTGCATAGTAAAATACTATTCATACATACGTATATGTAATTAATAAAATACGTATATATAAATAGTAAAATACGTATACATGAATAGTAAAATACGTATATAAATAGTAAAATATGTATATAAAAATATGATATATCTACTAAGAATCTCAATACATAAAATTTTGGGATGTTACACACTATGTAATAACAATTTAGTGCAAAAGTACATGATAGTATCATATACAAGATAAATCTAATAAATTAAAATATTTATGCATGATAGACTATGTACAAAGCTGGTCCACCGTAACACTTGTCAATGGTTTTTTTTGAAAAATTCGAACCGAACTGAACCGAACCGTTTTATAAAAGTGGATTGGTTAACCAATCTATTTTTTATAAAGTGGATCGGTTTGATTTTTTTTTAAATATGGATCGGTTTTTTTGAAATTGGATCGGTTCAGTGCGGTGCGGCCATCCATTTTTTATTCATATATGGATCGTTTTTTTAAAAAACATCGAACCGAATTGAACCAATCCATTTTGTAAAAATGGATCGGATATTTGAACTGGTTTCATAAAGTGGATCGATCTGAATTTTTTTTTCAAAATAGATCGGATTTTTCAATGTGAATCGGATTGGTTATGGATCGGTTCGGATTAATTTGAATTTTTTGCACATTCCTAGTCAACACATGTATGTAAACTACTTGATTCAAATACTCAAGTGTTTAAGAACAAAAACATCCTTCAAATGAGCTGAACTCAAATTTTTTATTTCCCCCTATTATTCAACTTTTATATTTTTTTAGCTTTTATATCATGAAATCTATAATATTAACTTTTTTTTAAACATGTTTTGTCCCTAAACTTTCAAAACTCTCTTTATTTAGTATTTATTTTCAAAAAAAATTCATAAATTTTTTTTTTTTAAATTTCAATTATTTTTATCATTAATTTTTTTAAAAAAATACAGAAATATAAAGTATTTTTTTTCACTAGTTAAGTATAAGACTAATACATAAAATACAAAATATCAATGTTAATTATTATTACTATTAAATTGGGGAATGAACTTTTTTTTCTTCTCCTTATTTTGCAGGTTCTTTTCATAATTTTTTAGATTACCTATAAATAATTAATCAACTTTAATTTGTGCTTTTAAGATTATGCAATAAATGTAAAAAAGAACAATTTTTTTTAATCTTGATTTCAATTTTAATTTTTGTAAAAGAAGTTCTAAAACTAGTTTTTTTTTTTTTTATAGCTTTAGGGTTGTTATTTAAGTTAATAATTAATTATATAATTTAGAGATATTTAATGGTATACAATATATTTGATCACCATTAAACTCTTTAGAATGAGATGAAAAAAGCATTTTAAGATTGACGACTCGTAAAATTTTATATGTTTTTATCATTATTTTAATAATGAATAATCTTATCATTATTCGTTGTCAAGTTTTTATATGTTTTTATTTTGGCTAAACTTATATGTTTCATAAAATTTGAATGTTGTTAATGTCTGTAGTTAAATAATTTAACCATGTTAATTTTGTTGAGAATTTTTTAATCATCAAATGCAATATATTAAGAAGTTTTTTTGAACTTTTTTTTACAGGAAGTTTTTTAAACTTATAACAATATTTATCTTTATATTTTTTAAATTTATTAAGAAGTTTTGTTTTTTTTTTCTTTTACACTTCTAGACTTCTAGTCTTCTAGCAAACATAACAATAACATATTTATTTTATTTGTAAACGTATAGGAGAGAGAAGTGGTTACAATATCAAAAGATAAAATCTTACCTTACTAGCATATCTATTTAAAAAGATTTTTTTGGTGTTGGAAATAATCCTATTAATAATCTTTAGTTCAATAAATAAGATCTTGAATTAAATTAAATATTATTAAATTTTGATTAATTATTAAATATATAGTAATATTTGATAGAAGAATTTTTAATATTTCATTAACTTCCAGTTGAATAGACATAATATATTTTTTATCTATTTTTTTATTTATAAAAAAATTTCAATTTCAACAGGAGTTTCGTGATTTTTTGTTCATACCTGAGAAGAACACAACACGATGAAAGAATTTTTTTTCCTTCAACTGATAAATTATAACGCATGACGTTCTAATAAATTTAATTTCAAATTATTGCCCATAAAAAAAAGATCAAAGAAATAGACAGAAACGTAAGCACGATCCCGACGTTTGTTGCAGTCCAAACGCATTTCTTGTGTGTTTATTAGGGTTTCAAATCTCATTTTGCCACCCAAAATTCCCATCTCTCTCTCTCTCTCTCACACACACACACACACCAGTTCTCAGAATGGCACGCTCTCTGCACTAGCTCTCACGTTCCTAGGGTTTCGTTTCGGGAATTTCTCATTACCTCCATCAACTCCAGTAATGACCGAATTGCACTCTCAGGACTATGCCGCTGTTGCACCAAAAACCGACGACCGTGCCGCTACCAATTCTCCTAGGGTTTCGCCAAACTACAAACTCGAGGACGCTTCGACGAAAGAGTTTAGGTTTAGGGTGTGCTCCGACAGTAACACACCATCCACCGTTGAGCGATTCGCGCCGGGAAATGACTCCGACAAATTTCCCGGCTCCGATAGCAAATCTCTGTTATCGGAATTCGATGAGTACGTGGCTGCCGAGAGGCACGTGGCGAGAGATCTAGGGTTTGGTTTGGAGGTGGGTGACATGGTGTGGGGGAAGGTGAAATCTCACCCGTGGTGGCCCGGTCACATATACAACGAAGCTTTTGCGTCTCCTTCGGTGCGTCGCTCCAAGCGCGAGGGCCATTTCTTGGTGGCATTCTTCGGCGACAGCAGCTACGGCTGGTTTGAGCCGGCTGAGCTTATTCCGTTCGACGCAAATTTCGCCGAGAAGTCGCAGCAGACGAATTCCAGGACGTTTTTGAGGGCCGTGGAGGAGGCAGTTGATGAGGCCTGCAGGAGGCGTGGTCTTGGGTTGGCTTGCAAGTGTAGAAACGGTGCTAATTTTAGGCCCACAAATGTTGAAGGGTACTTTTGTGTTGATGTGGAGGATCATGAGCCTGGGGGATTGTATTCCGATCTTCAGATTAGGAAGGCAAGGAATGGGTTTAAACCGAGTGAGGCTCTTGCTTTTGTGAAGCAATTGGCGGTTGCTCCACATGATAGTGGCCATGGAAGCATTGAATTCAGTAACAATAAGGCTACTCTTTCAGCTTATCGGAAGGCGGTGTTTGAGCAGTTTGATGAGACTTATGCTCAGGCTTTTGGGGTGCAGCCAATGCGCCCTACTCATCCTCAGAGTAAGCCACTCGGTCAGCCTGGGAATGTCAGGCACCCTACTAGAGGTATATAAATATATATGTGTGTGTGTGTGTGTGTCTGTATAATATTCAGTGATTCCTTTCATGTTTATTTGATATCTAGTGACATTATATTTCAGTATCTTTGTCAATGCATTGTTTTGTGTTTCTGTTGACAATGAAATTGATGACTAGATCTTTGTAGATTTTCTGGTTGATGTTGAGGAGATTGTTTGTCAACATTCTAATAAGATAGAGGTTTGAATCATTATGATTTTTGTACTTGGTAGCTGAGATGTTTGTTTGTGTTTGAGTTTCTTAGAAACATTTAGATAGCTTGCAATCTAAGGAGGCATTTGTTTTAAGTAATACTTTTCTACTCCTGGGAATATGAAGGTGGGAATATTTATTCTCATGTTTGTTACAAGATTATATTAAGATATTCTTGGGTATATTTTATTCCCCAGAAAACAGGAATGTAAAACATTCATATGTGCATACTTCTCAATCTATTGGTGGAAGATGGGTATCTTATATTCCAAGGGAATGGAAGTTACTTTTCTAGTAACTACCCCTTTCCACTTATTATTCCATGTTTCTTCATTCATTGTCATTTTTTAATTAAACATGTGTTTATGGGATTAACATTCCTGGTCCTGGGTACAATATTATACCTTGAAATAAACGCCCCCTAAAAATATGTCTGTGTAATGGTTCTTGATAGGTATTATTATATCATAAGAAATTAGTTTTGGTTAGGAAGAAAATTGAGGTGAATGAGTGGCATGTATGAAGAAAACAGATTTAATAAGAATGTATCTGGGACAATGTTAGAGTAGCTCCTGTTGACAAGATAATGACAAACTTGTCTAAGGATAGAGGTGGATTTGGTGACTGGGTAGACTACTAGAGGCTCTAATGGTATGGGAGAATAATAGGGCCATTGTAAATAAGTATAGAAGAAGGAATACCATAGTAGTCAATCCCGGATAGCGGCGCGGAGCGGTCGACCCTAAAACTGGGATAGCGGGATGACGCGGAGCGGGATAACCGCTATTTTAATATTAATTTATATATATTAAATAATTAATAATATATATATAAAAGCTAAAAAAACAAAAAAATAACTCTAAATTCATACATTAAACCTTTTTAATAATTAAAAGTTCATAGTACTCAAACAATACATAATATAAAATGTCTCCAAAACAAAGTGTTAAAGCTCTAAGTAAGTAAAAAATTAAACATTATAATCAGAAATTAAAAATAAAATTTGCTAAATTAAATTTAATCAGAAATTAAAAACAAAATTTGTTGAATTAAATTTAATCAGAAATTAAAAATAAAATTAGCTGAATTAAATTTAATCAGAAATTAAAAATAAAATTTGTTGAATTAAATTTAATCAGAAATTAAAAATAAAATTAGCTGAATTAAATTTAATCAGAAATTAAAAATAAAATTTGCTGAATTAAATTTAATCAGAAATTAAAAATAAAATTTGCTGAATTAAATTTAATCAGAAATTAAAAATAAAATTTGCTGAATTAAATTTAATCAGAAATTAAAAATAAAATTTGCTGAATTAAATTTAATCAGAAATTAAAAATAAAATTTGCTGAATTAAATTTAATCAGAAATTAAAAATAAAATTTTCTGAATTAAATTTAATCAGAAATTAAAAATAAAATTTACTGAATTAAATTTAATCAGAAATTAAAAATAAATTTTTCTGAATTAAATTTAATTAGAAATTAAAAATTAAATTTGCTGAATTAAATTTAATCAGAATTTAAAAATAAAATTTGTTGAATTAAATTTAATCAGAATTTAAAAATAAAATTTGTTCAATTAAATTTAATCAGAAATTAAAAAAAAAACAGTTGAAATAATTTAATAAATAATTAAAAAAAAAATATGTTGCATGTTGCATAAAAGGCATCCTCGAAGGAGAATAGAAGGAGAATAGAGACAAACGCGCGTCGGAGCTTGCGGCCACGTCGGAGCTGCGTCGGACCTGGAGGCGCGTCGGAGTCCGAGGTGCGTCGGAGCTGGAGGCGCGTCGGCGATGGAGGTGCGTCGGAGCCGGAGTTCGTCGGAGCTGCACGCTGCACGCACGATAGCCAGAGAAGAAGAAAGGGAGAGACGAAAGGAGGGGTTTGGTTTGGATGAGTCTGAAATCGCGAGAGGGAAAGGGAGGATTAGGGCAAAAAAACCCCATTGAAAAGACCGACTTACCCTTAATGAAGGGTAAGTCTGAAATCGCGCCGCGATTCCGCGATTTGGGCCGCTCCGCTCCGCCTCCGACGCGGCCGCTCCAGCAGCCAGATTGCGGGGTGAGGCCGCTCCGCTCCGGAGCGCCGCGATAGCGGCCGCTCCGGCCGCTATTGACTACTATGAGGAATACAAAGGAGGGAGAGGAAGGCAAAGAAAAGGAGAATGGGTCTCCAAGTCAGGGCCTTGGGGTTGATGAGAAGGATGAATGACAGAAGACACAAAAAAGAGTAGTAAGGGATGAGAGAAAGAGAGAGAATAACGGAGTGGTACATGTGGAGAAGTGCGAGTGGGGAGGAGAGAATGTGGGGATCTATGTCCGGTAATCATGAGAGTTAGAGGAGAGACAGGGTAGGAAAAGGAGTTTTTTGGCCATATTGGTTTGGGGTGGTTACAAGCATGGTAGTTGAATTGAGATACAAATAATGCTCAGAGGTTTACATTACTAAAGGACATTGCAGCGGAGAGAATTGACTGGAAGATATGAGTTCGTATAATAAGATTGTGGAGGCTGCCAGAGTTTAAGAATCCATTACAAACAAATTCCTTATAGATGATTTTGGTGGATGAAGAGGTTTTTTTTTCTTCATAAATTATAACCGTTATAAGTTTCATTGTTGGATAGTGTAGTTTTTGTTTTTGTTTCTGTTTGAAATTTTCATCTTCACAAAAAAAAATATGATTAGTGAAGATATTATTAAAAGTTTTATATACTTTTTACTTTCATCTTTTTTTAAAGGACATGACTCAAAGGTTTATATTACTAAAGGACATTGTAGCGGAAAGAATTGACTAGAAGATAAGAGTTCGTATAATAAGATTGTGGAGGCTGTCAGAGTTAAGAATCCATTGCAAACAAATTTCTTGGAGATGATTTTGGTGGATGAAGGGGTTTTTTTTTTCTTCATAAATTATAATAGTTATAAATTTCATTGTTGGATAGTGTAGTTTTTGTTTTTGTTTTTGTTTGAAATTTTCATCTTCACCAAAAGAAATATGATTAGTAAAGATATTGTTTTCAGAATCAATTACAATGAGTCAATGACCTTAGTAAAGACATGGATTAATTTTTCTGCACGCATGTTATTTTTTAGAAGTTAATGTATTTTTTCCCTTTATTCTTTTAATTATTTTTACCTATTATAATTCAAATAATAACCTTCTTTTAAAATAAATGAAATTAGTCTGATTCAAAACTTTCAATTATTTATTTTTAACCAAATCCTTTAACTCAATATCTTTTTAAAAAAAAAACATACCATCACTTTTGTATTTACAAATCATTTTGTTTAAAGCTAATTACCATCAATTTTTCTTTTGATAATAGTTTTTTTAACATGAACAAAAAGTATTTATACATAACTTCTTATGTATTGATTACAACTTTTTAATGTCAATTGATAATTTTTATTAACAGAGAAATATTGCACGAGATTTGAACCCAATCATATAATACCATAAACATAAATGTACACCAATCATATATGTTAGAAAAAAATTATAATATTATTTCATATTTTATTAATTTTATCTTTTAAAATTTATTATAAAATTTCTGAATATAAAACTAATTTATAATTATTCAAAAATATTGTATAAAGATATATTGTAATATTAATTATAT